AAGGAAAGGTATCACGATAGGAACGAAAGTACGGCAATACAAGAAAGCAAATGTAGAGAGGCTTCAAGGTTTTTTTAAGGAACTATACAATCACTTTCTAAGAACTAAGGGAGGTATGGAAGAAAAATGGGACGCGTTCAAAGATATTATACACGAAGCTTTGCAAAGGTTTGTTCCCTGCAAAGTTTTAAAAAATAATCCGGACCCAGAATACTACAATGCAAAAATTAGGAGAATGAAGAGGGTAACGAGAACATGCAATAACAGAAAACGCAGTAGCGAACATATGAATATTTTTAGAAATCGTTCGAAAGAATTGGAGAGTGAAAAGAAAATTGCCCAGGAAGCATATTTAAAGAATATTTTAGATGGGAAGGGAAATAACTGAACAGGATTTTATAAATATGTTCGTAGAAGGAAAGGAAATAAAGAGTATATCCCAGTTGTTCGTGAGAACGTAAACACTCATTACTAACGATCGGGCAAAAGCTAATGCGTTTAATAAGAATTTCATTTCGGTTTTCAAAAGCAATACAAACCATTCATTAATTCAGGGGTCTTCGGTTACAAATCAGTTTAATATTGAAGTGAACGTTCTACGGAATAAAGTAAAATCTATGAAAAATGGTAAGTCGGGGGGTCCAGATGACATTTCTACGGACATAATTAAACTAGGAGGAGAGGCAATATTACTGTACCTAATAAGAATATTTCACGTATCCATAAACAATTCTAAAGTATCTGAAGACTGGAAATTAGCTTTTGTCGTACCAATTTTTAAAATTGGTGACAAAATTATATTAAGTAATTATAGGCCGGTAAGTCTTACGTCAGTGGTTTGCAAACTTGTGGAGTATCTAGTTACACTAAGCAAGAATGGGAAATCAAAAAATGGCTCTATGATGGCCAACACGGCTTCATGAGTGGTTATTCATGTGAAAGTCAGGTAGCCACGCTATTTCAGGATCTAGCAGATGAAATTGACGCTGGTGGGAGAGTAGACGCAATAGTTATAGATTTTGCCAAAGCGTTTGATGTCCTTCCCCACGATTGGCTCGTACAGAAATTAATGAATTCAGGCATATATTTCAGGGTGGTGGCGTGGATTAGCGAGTTTCTGCGAGACAGAAAACAGAAAGTACGAATTGGCCATGAGTTTTCTACCGGGACAAGCGTTACGTCAGGAATACCGCAGGGGAGTGTCAGGGAGGGGACATCTTCTATTCCTAGCGTTCGTCAATGATCTGCCAGCGCAATTAATATCATATGTTCGGCTATTTGCAGACGATTGCATAATATATTGTAGTATGGATTCGAAAGAAGACGAAGAAATGTTGCAACGGAATCTTGATGCGTTACATTACTAGGCGGAAAATAATGAAATGACCATAAATAGCTCCAAAAGCAAATCCATTACTTTGGCAGGGGTCATAATTACAGAGAAACAAATTACCGTTTAAATCAAGACATTATTCCGATAGTTTTCACATGCAAGTACCTAGGAATCCATTTCGATGATAAATTAAGCTGGGAAAGTCACGTAGATTTTGTTCTAGGGAAAGCCTGGAGATCACTGCACTTTGTAATGCACACCTTAAAAAGAGTACGGCAAACGCAAAGGAAATTGCTTATTTATCGCTTTTTCGTCCGATAATGGAATATGGAACAATTTGTTGGGATCCGCACGAAATTATGCAGTGTAAAACTTTAGAAAGAATTCAGAGTAGGGCAGCTAAATTTACTTTCAGGGACAAGAAATTGGCAAAATGGGATTCTCTCGAAAATAGGCGAATGTCTCCCACGATCTGTTAGCTGAAGTCTTTAAATTTATTTTGTTCCTGTGAATCCTCCTACGTGATGTATGTAGAATACGTAGCTTGCCCCGATTAATTTCTTTCAAGTTGGATATACCGCTACAAGCTTATTATACTCAAGCGCTTAGTAGTGTATGTTACTGAGGATCGCTAGAACCTTATGCGCATTTCTGCGACTGAGCGAAGTCCCCGATACAATCTGCCAAGTTTCGTGATGTCCCTGAAAGATATAAAATTTAGCCTGCCGGCCCTACCTTGAGTTTCCTCTAAAGTGTTGCATGCACTGAATTGAAAAAGCTAGAAGAAAAAAAATCAGAAAGATCGTCACTACAAATACTATCTGTGCATCCCAACATAATGTTCTTATACACTTTCCTTCCACTATTTTCCTGCAATCGCATTATCCGGCTTTAGGAACGAAAAAAGCGAAAATAGGATACTATATTTTCCTTTGCGTTTGTGCCGTAACTCTTTTTAAGCCTCATCATTACCAAATGCACGTAGGATCTCCAGGCTTCCCATAGAACAAAGAAGGATCCTACCGTGATCGTTAGTCCCACGCGAAGAACTTAATTTATCAACTCGAAATGGATTGCTACGCCTCCAGTGTATCACCAACACTTCCGACGACTTGCATGTTGGACTGATACGGATTTGTCTATTGTTAAACGGTAATTTGTTCCTGATTATGACCCCTTTGCCAAGAATGATTTGCTTTGAGCCTATTTATGGTCCATTTTCATTATTTTCACGCTACTATAGTAAGGTTAAACGCAATCAAGATTAAACCGCTGCCCAACCATTTCTTCGTCTTTTTCGAACATTTACTACAAGTATATTATTGCAATCGTCTGAAATAGAACCGAAACAATTATGTAATAAATTGCGCCCTGGCCAGATCCCATTGACCGAACGCTAGGAATATAAGATGTCCCCTCCCTGACACTCCCCTTGCCGTATCCTGACGTAACGCTGCTGTTCGCGGTAGAAAACTCATGGCCAATTCGTACTTTCTGTTTTCTGTTCTCGAAAGAACTCGCTAATCCACGCCACCACCCCTGAAATATATGCCTGATTCATTAATTTCTGTTACGAGCCAATCGTGGGGAAGGACATCAAAACGCTTTGGCAAAATCTAGAAACGATTTTGCGGCACTCCTCCCGCACCAGCGTCTAATTCATTAGCAGATCCTGATAATAGCTGTGGCTACCTGACTTTCACATGTCCATAAACCAGCTCATGGAGAGGCCCTTTGGTGCCATTCATAGAGCCATTTTTTGATCTTCCCATTCTGTCTATAGCTGTCAAACTTAGCATACTTCCACAAGTTGAAACCACTGACGTAAGACTTACCGCCTATAATTATCTAATAGAATTTTGTCACCAATTTTAAAAATTCGGTACGACAAAGCTAATTTCCAGTCTTCAGATACTTTAGAATTGTTATGGAACGTGATATTCTTATTAGGTTACAGTAATATGCTCTCCTCTAGTAATTATGTCCGTTAGAAATGTTCATCTGGACCCCCGATGCACCCCTTACCATTTTCATAATTTACTTTTTCCGTAGAAACGTCACTTCAATATTAAACTATTTGTAACGAAGACGTGGCACCCCTGCATAATGATATGGGTTTAGGTAATCCTTTTGAAACACCGAAATTGAAATTCTTATTAAACGCATTAGCTTTTGCCCGCATCGTTAGTACTATGCAGTGTTTTAACTGTTCTCCACGCACAGAGCTGGATAGTACTCTTTATTCCCTTTCCTTCGACGAACCTTTACTAAAATCCCGTGCGAGTTTACCCTTTGCCCTTCCCACTAAAATATTCTTTAAACAATGCTTCCCTGTGGGCAATTTTCTTTGTTCACTCTCCATTTGCGTATGTCGAACGATTTCTAAAAAATATTCCTTAGTTCGCTACGCGTCTGTCTGTTATTGCGATGTTCTCGTTACCCTCTTCCTTCTCCATTTGGCATCTGTAGTTAGTTGCTGGGGAATCGGGATTATTTTTTTAAAAACTTAATGCAGGTAACAACCTTTGCAAAGTCTTTCGTCCCGGGCCCCATATACCCATACGTGAGACGCGCTGCTGCCTCAGCCGGATTTCATTAGCCGATACCATCTCTCATTTAAGTTTGCTCGAAACGATTTCATGCAGGGTTCTCTCATAAACAAAACTTTGAAGTCTCTAGCTGCGATCACATTATGGCTTTCTTGTATTGCCGTACTTTCGTTCCTAATCGTGATACCTTTCCTTGAAATATTTTGTCAAGTCAAGCAGAACCGTTGCTTAGTGTTTGCTAAGTGCTTCTCAACAACGTCACAAGAATTTCGGCCTTAATGAAGTTTTTTCCCGGCCTAGTGAAGTATCATCCAAAATCGCATCCTGCTGCGTCACGCTCCCAACTACCTGAGTTAATCCCCTG